GAGACCGTTCTTCTTCGACTACTTTTTGTTACCGGCTGCTCACCGCTTAGCAGTTTTACCGCCCCTACCGTATAAGATGACGTACTGATATAGCCGGAGGCGCAAAACGTTCTGTTTACAAGCAGTACGTCATCTTATACGGTAGGGGCGGTAAAACTCCTAAGCGGTGAGCAGCCGGTAACAAAAAGTAGTCGAAGAAGAACGGTCTCGTCTCAGTTCTCGCGCATGCGCCCATAAGGAAGTAATGGAAAGTCGAATAAAGTCGTTATTTACGTTTTTTTTTTCGCACAAAAAGTAGTCTCGTCGCTTGATAAAGTTATAGTTGAGCCACTGTAGGCACATGGAATATTTAAACCTTTTCTTTTAATGACTTTCTGGGCCGTCAAGAGGCAGTCCCTCAGGCTGTCTATGGAAGAGTGATACAGCCCTCAGATTCAATCAAAAATATCTTTATTTGTGTTCCGAAGATGAACGAAGGTCTTACGGGGTTGGTACAGCATGGGGGTGAGTAATTAATGACTTATTTTTCATTTTTGGGTGAACTAACCCTTTAAGTGTGCCATATGCATTAGACGTTCAGCCAGCGGTTCATGGGCTGAGACTACTTGAAGCCCAATGTAAAATCTAAAGCAAGACCAGTTGTCAAGAATCTCTGTTCTAGATATATATCAGAAAAAATGTATGTATATATTGACAAAGCTGGTTTATAAAAATGTAAAGTTCGTCTACAGGACCACCACCAGAGGCCTCGCTCTGGTGACGCATTACTTGTCTCACAGATTGTACCCTCTCAGCAGGCTGGCCATCTGGCTTGTCTTTACAACAAGGACAGAAATACAAATCATACCTAGTCACAGATATTGCAGAGGTTACACATTACCTAAAAGAATAGGGGAAAAAAACAGTTCTGACGTAAACTCACTGGAGCGCTGCAGCTCCCAGCCATATGGGGACTTAAATGGATCCTAGAATTGTTCAGACTATCTGCTGAGCGCAGGTTTTAGAACTACACAGAGACAAGCCTCATCCAGCATAACGCAGGGGAAAGTACTCACTGCTGTGTTGACACAATGAGGGCACTATATAGAAGTTTAAGAGCATCAATTTCCGTGTCTATTCAAGGGGCCATGAGCCTTTTGTGTGTTTAATAATATTTAACATCAGACAATGCTGCTGCCAGTGACTGTGTTTAGTCAATATGAGTTATAAATGTTGGCACGTGTGGATTCACGCAAATGTGGTTCGATCAAGGATTTGGTCTCTCTAAACCCTGCCTTTCTGAGAGTCTAATCTACTCTGATTGATCATATGGCCCAGTCTGTTGTGATTGGATAAACGTTGATTACCGTATCTGAATATCACCTCCTGATCTTCCTCAGCAGTCAATGCAATGTGATTCCAACATTAGCACTGGTGCGGTTTTATCGGATCAATTCGAGCGCGAGTCCTGATCTTTTGGAAGTTAATGCGAAGTGGATTTGCTTTCGCATAGCAGCATTGACGTGTCGACAACACAATGCAAACTCATTCAAGTATTATGCATTGCATTATGCAAATTTGTTACAAGCATAGTTTCTCGTAGGAAGTAAGCCTGGATTTACTGATGACTCGTTTTAGGCAGTTCAGAGTCAGTTCTTTCTTTTGGGACACAATAACTCCATTAGTCATGCACTTTGATCTTTGAAACTTTTTAGACTTAAAACAACTATATTACACACTACAGGAAATGTAATAGCCGAAAAAGCATAATGGTGCAATTTAATATCTGGATTAATTCTCTAAAGATTAAATGGAGAATAAATGGAAACTTTTGCTTAGTCATCATGAAACTGCTTTCACAGCTGATATTACTACTGTAATGTGGTGTATTTTTGAGTAAAACAATTAAATGTAAATAATGCCTTTTTAAATAACACATTTTATCAAACAGGAATTTATTGGATTGTAAAAAGTGGCCCTTCCATATTAGAAAGCAGCCAGAGCTGAATGAGTTTGCTGTGGATTGTGGAGGACTTTAAAGAGGATTTTAACCAGTGTGTGGAGGTAAAGTTCACCTTTGAAAGAATCTCAACGCTAACTGTTTTTGCCATCCAGTTTTGTTATTAAAGTCAACTTCCATGAAATTGCTGCTTTAACTATTGGCATTATTTTTGAAAGGCTGCATTTAAATGCCTCAATTGCTGTTTGGCTAGTGGTTAATATTTTCTGATAGCCTGTATGCCCTAGGTCAAGGAAAGTTGTTCCAGAGGCAGAACTAATTATTTTGATGAATTATAATAGAGATTTTTTGGTTACACTTTTATTTTAATGTGTCTGTGTGTAACTATACATTAAGTTCTGAGTAATATAAATGAACTACATGTACTGTACTTACTATAGGGTTTGGATTAGGTTTGGTTTAGGGTTACTTGCATGTAATTATAAATAATTTATAGTTGTTTATGTGCAACATGTAACAATGACACTTTAAAATGAAATGTTACCATTAAAGTTTTGAACAGAAGCAAATTACTGTCAAATTGAATTTGTGTTGGCTTCTCATATATTTCTGGTTGGCTTCTCAAGTTTCAGATCTGCCAAAATCTGCGATCAAAAGTTAGAAATCTCAATATGCACTCAAACAAATTCTTCCGAACCAAAACAATCTGGACTGTACGATCTACTCTTTACAGCTCTATAATCCTACTGTCTATAATCCTGCCTTTTTTAGGGATGCACCGATATGAATTTTTGCCGATACCGATAACCGATAATTCTTTATATTTGAAAGCCGATAACCGATATATCGGCCGATAAACTTAAATCCAAATTTTTATCTGATTTTGAGAGCCTGATTACAAATACAAAAGTCTCACAATTAAATCCATGTCCCAAGCGCACAATTATAATGATGTTCTCATTATAGTGTTGTATAGCCGATATGACAGATTTGCGTTGCACATGTTGTACCGAACCGTATTTTCATTTTTTGAGAGATTTCAGTCATATTTCAAGAAATTCAAAAACATAAACAGTGCTCAACAAGTGTCTCAGCTGAAGGGAATAATACATTATTTATCGGCTTTAACATATCGGCCACATTTTCTTACCAGGCCGATAACGATAACATTAAAAATGAACATATATCGCCCGATATGCTGGCCGATATATCGTGCATCCCTATTTTTAATCCTATATGTCTGAGAAATTTTAATAAAAATATCAAGATTGGTTGACAAGAAAATAACCCATAGCAGACAATTTAAAAAGCACTCTTCTTCAGCAATATAGCATATATATATATATGAAGAGTTCAGATGCAAAAGCCTCTTAGTGCCATTTGAAATTTTCTTCTAGAATGATTATTTTTATCAAGCTTGTATATTTGAGTTCAGTAATTTCACTTAAATTGCAATGAAGATTACCTATTAATTGTAATTTAAGTGAAATTACTGAACTTAAATATACAAGCTTGATAAAAAATTATCATTCTAGAAGAAAATTTCAAATGGCACTTAGAGGCTTTTGCATCTGAACTCTTCATATATATATATAAATCAAACATAAAGGTGTAATAATACTTTCTTCCTGATTAAACTGAGGTTTTACATGATTTTACCAGATTGTAAGCTGGACATTTCCAAGAAAGCACAAGTGACTTTCTAAAGCATAAGATGAAGTGTGCAATGAGTAAACAGAGTTAATGCCACCTCTCCACTGTGAGAGCCATTAGCAATGACATTACTGCCTGCTAGAGCACTGGTGCAATTTAAGAGTATTGCAAAAATAAATTTCAGAAGATCTGTCGGGCCATTAATGTAACTGCCCTACTCCAAATAATAAAGTGTGATCTGAAATACAAATACGACTTCATACATCAGAATCTGCTAATGTAACATTGGTGTTTAATTATTGCACATGTAGCTCGTGTGTGGAAATACAGATTGGATCAGCGTGTATGCAATCTGTTTGTGGATGTATTTGCAATTATCCCAACGCATTGCATTCAGTTGTACAATAAGCAATGTTGACTCCCTAATCAAGCATTGATGTGCATGGTTCAGTGTGCTGTGTGGCTCATTTGCTTCTTATTTCTCATTCTGTGTACATACAATGCTGGGCTGGATGGAGACTTGAACAGACAAACATTAGCTGTGTAACATATGTCCTGAACCCTTGTGATCTATGTCCACCTGGCCAGAATTGACCCACAGTGGATTAAGAGATCCAAATTGGCTGTTTGATATATCGCCAGTCCTTGTTAACAGTGTTCCCTCCTGTCAATTCTCTCCATTGCTTTCAAGGTCAACCGCCCTCTTCTGCTGGACAAATCAGAGAGCTTACTATAATCAGCGATGCTCGCACATACACGCGCTTTCAAACTCGCTCATGAGTGTGAGCGTCAATGTTGAAAAAACATGACTGTCTCTAATTTATTTTACATGATATGCGTGAAGAAAATATGAAATTCATCCCTGTTTTGTCCTAATCATGGCCTTATATCTGTGCTTCTATTTTCTTTTCTAGCTTGTAGAAAATACATTTTATTGCCAGCAATTACTGATTTATGCTTGTTTGTTGTGCTTTTGACTGCAAGACCCCGAAACAGATCAATACCAGACTTCACATCCCAGACCAAGACTCTATGATTTATGAACTACAGTAAATAAAGAAAATGATTGTATCCAATTCTAACAATTTCATGTTGCACACTGAAAAACATGATCAAATCAGTAATCTGTTTACCAGTTGCGCCTTTAAATATGATATCGTGGAGTGACATGCATTTAGTTTAATACCAGTCAACTTAAATGTTGACAAGCTTTCTGCTTGAATTGTCATGATGAAATTGCAGTATGTAGGTACAGTAAAAATGGATGCCTTATAATGATACTTGCAACGACATATTCATTTATTAACACTTTCCCTGCCAGTGAAGGAACTTTCCGTCATTTGTGATGAAATCTGGCCCCAGGTGTAAATGCTAATCTGTCTCACAACTTTTAATTGAATTTCTCTAGATGTTGCCGCAGGTGTCCAGGTGTAAATGAAGCGATAGATATCAGGAGTTGTGGAGATGTAGACTGAGAACTATAAGCCAAGACTTGGATCAAGATGCCAAGACCACGAGATCAAGACAACAACTCTGAGATGGTACTGACTTAAATCCTTAATGCTTCTTAACCAATTCTGTCAATTCTGTTTTGTGTCTAACATGTGTGATGACAATTAACCTCAGTGCCAGTGGTGGAGGAAGTACTGAATCTCAGTACTTAAGTAAAAGTACAAATAACCAGATAAATATTTACTTTAGTAAAAGTAGAAGTAACACAATGACAACCATACTTAAGTAAAAAGTAAAAAGTACCTGATTTTAAATGTACTTTACGTATTAAAAGTAAAAGTACTTGCATAACAATTGATTCTCTTAGTGACTATTTTCTAATGATTAATAAAACATTTAATTCTAACTCATTCAACCTAATACTTCTATAATGATGTTCAATAATGATGGAACAAAATAGTTGTCACCATTTCTGAAACAAGCTTTCAACTAGGCAATAAAAACCATGCTTATCCTTACTATATATAACTATGTTTGGCAGTAAATGCGATTCATTTATGGTGTAATTCTGAACCTCTTGGCTTGCCATAATGTGCATAGTGTGTTTCCTATGCACGTAAAAACACATTTTTGCGTATAAATTGCACGATAAAAACACTGCGTGCGAGACGCATTTAGTTGATGTATCTATGGCAACCAAACGTCACTGGTGAGACAAACGTGCAACGAACGGACGGTCAGATTACGTTTTGGCAGGGGAAAAACTGATCAGAAAATGTAATGAAAATGTAACAGAAGTTGTAGAAATGTAGTGGAGTAGAAAGTATAATAATTGCTGCAAAATGTAACGAAGTAAAAGTAAAAAGTATGCGCTATTTATTCTACTTAAGTAAAGTAAAGATACGTGAAAAATGTACTTAAGTAAAGTAACGAAGTATTTGTACTTCGTTACATTCCACCACTGCTCAGTGCTCACCAAAGTTAATTAGACTTTGTGAAGGTCAAAGTCTCCCCTACTACTACTTACCCTTGAGCTATGAAGTGACACACTTGACGGTCACAGCAGCAGAAATCTGTGACGTAAAAAAAATAGATTGAAAGAGACAACCAGACTGGCGGTCTTTTGAACCTCTTCTTTCCTATAAACTCCATACATGTCCCCATTAGTAGTGTCACACAGCACTTCCTTTCACATTAAACCAGCGTTTCTCAAAGTGTGGGGCGCCCTACTGGTGGGGAATAGAAACATGACAGGTGGTGCGCCACAAACGGGAGAAAATGTGGTAATTTTGTGCCCATCTCGATTAATTCCTTTATTTATTGAGCATAAACTCAAAACAAAACGACAACACATTTAAATGTAAGCCTCTGGCCTTACTTAACCTTTTAACACGTAAGTTTAAAAGTTTTTCTCCCTTTATGGTTTCCATGGAGACGCGTCATTGCTTGTCACACCCATAGACAGTACTGTAGGTCACACGCAGCCACAATAGCGCTGAATGACTGATTATCTGCTTTTATTTCACAAATTTGTTGGCTATCGCAGGAAATATCTGATATTCTGATTGTCAAATATGAGCAGGTGGATGTGTTTTGCTGTCTAACACCTTAGTTGAGCGAATCGGATCTGTTGGATTTAACAAACGTCAATTTACCCACTTCTCCGGAAATACATGAAAGTAAGTGGCCGGTAAATTGGGAGAAGCATAGAGTAAACTTGAAAGTTACTTACACGATGTGTATTTGATATGAATAATACAGTACGTGTTGTCTAATTATTATGGAAATAATTATTATTTCTGCTTTCATAGACATAAGAGTGTAAGGGTGGGGCACGAACCCTTCCCTACCTTCAAAGTGGGGAATGGCATAAAAAGTAAACCATGATGTGTTGAACAATAGAGACCTCGACGGGAGAGCACAGTCTAGTTTATTCTTTCCTGCCTTTTTCGTGGCATGTTTATTATCACAGCTGTTTAAACACGTGCATGTGTGAGTGTGACCATCAGATCTTGTCGTTTGGGCGTAGGAACATGCGTCACAAACCGTGCCTGGGCTCTGGAATAAGCTTTTTATGTAACGTTTGTGGATATTTTTAACAGAGAAAGTAAATGCAGTATTTTGGCTTGGTGTCACGTCCAGGACACAGTCACTCTAAAATGAATAACAAGTAACTACGCCTTTGAAAGTCACAGACAGGAATCGGAGAGAATGGTTTGTTTTACGCTTTGAGTCTGCTAGTACGTGGTACGGAACATTTTTTTAGTTTTATGAAGGGGGAAAAAAACTATAATGATTGCCTCAGTTTATTCTCACTTGGAAATATGGCTCAAAAGATTGTCACATTTGCTCTTCGGTCACTGGTCTTTTTTAGAATGAGAGACTTTTCTTCTAAGACTCTCGAAGAAGGCTCTTCAACTTAATATCAATTTATTCATTCTGTAGAATATTGGATTCAATTGAGATGCTTCCCATGAAAACAAAAAAAGAATGGGTTTTAGGGTTGTGCAACATTCTAAAATTAATTTATAATTCCCTTAAAATTCCAATTAGTTCTTGATTTACACATTGGAATTGGGTGTAGAAATGTGATTTGAATTTAAGAAAGTAGAATTGCAAAGTAATCGTGACTGCTGTAAGATCAGTTTTTAAATATTATATATATTTAATATGAATTACTCCCAGTATTGTCAAATTGTATCTAAAAACTGTGTTGAATAATTTAATTAAAAATGTTTTGATCACTGACAGGATTAAACTTTGGAGCTGTATGCAAGATGGTGGCCAAAACTGGTACTGCAATAACTTTCAAATTAGGGTGTATCCCCCCCTTTACCCTTGACTCGAGGTTGCCAGATATGTTGCAGGATCCAGTAGGAACGTAGGCTGCCACAAGAAGCTTCCAATGGCATGCGACGAGTCCTACACAGTGAGTTTTATTCTGTTAATTATTTATTTCGGATTCATATTGAGTTTTTTTGGTTTCGCAACGTGAGACATTTTGTTATCCGATTCCGACATGTATGTATCTAAAGCTGTGGTAACTAGCGAAGAGCTGGCAACCCGAATGCCGCAACACTACTGACTCCGTGATTGGTAGATCGGTGGAGGGTGACGCATCAGAACAAAACGAGTGATATAAGTATTTGAAATGAACATGATTTCTTAATGTCTAGTGACATATCAGGGCCATTTTATGATTAATTGAAATAAATGTCTTGCATACGACTCCTTTAAGAGAAATATTTAGTGACATATCAGGGAATAAGTTATTCTAGATGGACACAGATTGACATATGAGTATATAGATTTATGGATAGATAGCTATTTGCTTCCGTTTTTCATCTCATGTAGCTTATAGCAAATGATTCAAATGACTTGAATTTAGCCAACATGAATTTACTCAACTCCAAAGAACCTTTTATGCTAAAAAAGGTTCTATAATGACAAGAAAGAACCCTTTTTGGCACAAAGGTTCTTTATAGGCTATTATTCATTCATATATTACATCATTCTGCAATATTTTGTAGTTGTAATTAAATTATTGTTTATTAAACTGTTGTAGTAACTTAATCATGCTGATTTTTGGAGGAGAAAAACTGAAATGGCACTCTTCGTGTGATGTTGATTAACTACATAAAATGATTCAATATCTTGAATTTTATGATCATTCACATGCATTCACAAATACATTTTAGGGTCTTAATGTTTGTCAATAATATAAAATATATTTAATCCGGAAAGGACAAAACAAATGATAATGAATGAACCCAAAACGTTCCATATAGAACCTTTTTCCTGGTTACAAAGAACCCAAAAGGGTTCTTATTATTGAACCCTTAATAAGGGTTCTGTAAAAAACCTTTTAGGGGTTAAAGGTTGATAGAACCTTTTAAGGTTCTATATAGAACCTTTTCTTCTAAGAGTATAGCTACACCATAATTACACTTTAAATTCGTCTTAATTATGCAGTACTTACCGAACTGTAATCTAAAGCGTTACCCAATCGTTCTTACAGATGTCAAGTGATTAACATTGCAAACAACTGTTGTGCTCAAAGGAAAGGATTTGACCCTTTGGAAACTGCGAGTGTGTGATTGGTTTTTGTGCGTCACGTCTCATGCGCAGCTACAAACGCTCATCCTTATCCTTCAATCGAATCATGGAGCAAAACACAATGACTGACAATATGTTACATGAATTACACCTAATTATACCTTGGCTTGTAGAAACTATAATAGCGTGGCCTATTATGGGTGTTTGTTGACATTGGGTACAATGACACGATCAACAAACATGTTATCTCAATGACTCCATATTGAAACCTGTATCCTCCCAAGGAGACATCAACAGAGTCCTAAATGTGTGGCTTAAACAAAGAACAAGGAGGAGGAGAGCAGGGACACAAGTGGGCATGGTGGCAGAAATCAAGGAGCCAATAAAAACACAGTTTGAGTTTTCTGTAGACATTGGGGGCCAATAAGAGCTGGTTTGAACTCAGTTAGACACAGTTTCACTAGGCTGACCATATCATAGGCCTATAGAACTTTCAGCAGTTCATTTTCAGACACCGTGTTTTTCCTCTGGATTTTTCACATAACCAGAGACTTGCCTTGACCCAGTGTGGTCCCTTAAAATGCTGCTTGCCGTCACAGTGGAATAGAAGAGTACTTTGGACTATTTTATGCAGGGAATTTATAGACTGTGCCAGAAAGGTAGGTGCACTTTTGTGTGGAATGTGTGATTCTAAGCTTGAATGCGCTAAAATGTCTAGCCTGATGGCGTGTCAAGGACCCGTTTTACCTGTAAAGTGATTCATTTCATTCTCACTTCTTTTTAAACCATTCAGCACTTCTGCTGAAAGGAGCGATATGCACTGCCAACTTGATCAAACTGTCAGATGGTCCAAATTCAAAGTGAATAGTCCAGTGATGTAATAATGGCTAAATCCAAATGCATCTTGTAAGAATGTATTGTATCAATGACGAGATGTTAAGAGTGTTTGTATGAATTCAGATGGTTCTGCCACATTTGAAACTTGAACAAAAATGACCTACTATATACGCCACTCGGGAATACTAGATTCTGATTGATCAGTCATTCTGCAGGCAAATATATTTGAATATGTAATAAACTATTTTTTGAAATATATCACAATACAAAATTTTAATTCGTAACAATATTTCATAATATTACTGTTTTTACTGCATGTTTTTGTCAAATGATGATCTGATCACAAGTGGACGACGCTAAATACAGGTCTAAACGGGGTCTAAAACGTTTTGAGTGTGTTCATATGTAAATTGTACAAGTTTTTTTTTTTTTGTCCATTAGATCTGGGGGGGAAAAAATATACATTTACCCAACCTCCCCTCAAAGAAATCAGGACAGAAGTGGTTGAAATAGGATAAAAGTGACATATTGACCAAAACACGTCTTAATACCAGGTGTAAACAGGGCCTAGGAGACTTTAAAAAACATTACAAAAATCTTTCCGATCCCATACTTGAAAGGTAGTATAATTTCATGTTCATTTGTTTGGAAAGTTGCCATGTAATATGGAGGAGAACGTACAGCCAGCCAGTCATTATGACAAAATAAACCTCTTCAGGGTGATGCAAGAGCCTCTTTGCATGCACTGGGGTCCCGATTGTCTTGTCTGGGTTTGTTTTGTGATAATGACTGCACATTGTTGTTTTAATGAGAAAGTTGTTATTAAAAAACTATCTAGCAGCTAATGGCAGGGTGCCCTGATGCCTCAAGATCATGTTGTCTGGGCTAGCAAAACAAATCCAAGAGCACATGTAGAGGCTTAAATGCCAATGGGGGAAAGAAACAACCTGATATTGGTATACGATGCCTCTCTGTGACATAAACCTCTGATCCTCCTTAAATAATGGAAGTCACATTTCCATTTTGGAGGGAATGTTCGCTTTAAAAGCCTCCTGCTGTGGCTTTACAAATACTGGTTGCACTCAGGTCGGCTGTGAGGCTTTAATGTAAAGTCGCCACGAGGATGTACCATCTACGTTTCCTTTGAACGGTTTTCTGCCACATGTATGCACAATGAGCTTTCTTGGAGCTTTTGGGTGTGATTCATGGTTATTGATGCCCAATGCTTTGAAGTTTTAGGTTTACCTTTAGAGGACTAGTTGGGCAGAAAATGTTGTATTTTTTGCCAATGAATTGAAGTATTAGAGGTGCTATAGCATCACTATTACTCATACTCCGTGTTAGGGATTTGAAGAAACCCCCAACATAAGGTGTTTAACTTCAGCACGTAACTCATCCCACAGCGCTTGTCCCTCAAACATAAATGATACCTCAAATGATACGGTTGAGCAGCTTTTCTGACTTCAGACTCGCGTTTCTCCCCTTCTAGATTAAAGGACAAAAAAAATCCTATAGAATTACATTGAATGAGCAACCTGAGCCATATGAAGACCAGAAAACCCATAGCAATACACTAATCATTTAATAATGGTGTTTTTTAATGTATGTAGTTGAATGCATATTGTTCAAAAGTTTGGAGTGTGTAGTTTTTTTCCTCAGCATTTGTATTCAACATATATTCAGCAAATGTATCATTGTTTCCACCAAAATATTAAGCAGCACAACTGTTTTCAGCATTGATAGTAATAAGAAATGTTTCTTGAGCATATTAGAATGATATTTGAAGGATCATATGACACTGATGACTGTGTAATGATGTGGAAAATTCAGGTTTGCCATCACAGAAATATATTGCATTTGAAAGCATACTAAAATCGGAAACAATAGTTATTTTAAGGTAAAAGAAAAAGTTATTTTAAATTGTAATGATATTTCTCAATATTACTGTTTTTTTGTCTTGATAAAATAAAAGCTGCCTTAATAAGGATAAGACCCTTCTTTCAAAAATTTAAATATGCAGTCAAAATCCATGTTTTAATGACATAATTGTTTGACCTTGAACTCTTTTTTTTTCACTGACTGTTTTCTTTATTTCTTTAGAGAGAGAGAGAGCTTTGTAAACATCTGGAGCTATGGCACCTGCTGTTGGAGGTCCTGTGGGCTACACCCCTCCTGAGGGGGGCTGGGGTTGGGCCGTGGTGGTTGGTGCCTTTGTTTCTATTGGTTTCTCCTACGCCTTCCCAAAGTCCATCACTGTGTTCTTCAAGGAAATTGAAGTGATCTTTGATGCCAATAGCAGTCAAGTGTCCTGGATCTCTTCCATTATGCTTGCTGTCATGTATGGAGGAGGTAAGAGGTGTCTTCCTACTCTTTATCCTTTTGTCTTCCACTCAAAACTCTCAAAAACTCATAATGTTTAATTCCATACTAGACGTTGGCTCTGATTTAAATCCGAGCTGCTTAATACAGTAATAATGTCAGTGAGTCTGTTTTGTTGTCCATTCAAACCAGTGGTGAGATCATGGCGCAGGTAATGAAGGCAGTGTTTATCAATGGATATTGCGAGAGTGAAAGACCCTGATTCATTTGAATGTAGAAACGAGAGTCATGCTAGACAAGGCTTAGACATCAGCCACCGGCTTCTTTGCTGAGAGATTGAGCTATGAATGGGCAACTCTATCTCCCTCTGGAGTCTTTCTTCTCAGTCAGCTCTTTATTCTGCCAGTGTCAGATGTTTTCCTTGGAGAGAGATGAGGAGATGAGACGCCTAACTCAGGAGTCACACAGACTTGTGATGACTAGCGTCAATAGCAAACTTGTCTCGGGAAGTGGAGCACCACCAAATGAAGTCAGCACGCTCACATAGGCAGACTAAATTGCACCTTCTCCTTCTCACGCTACTGAGCAGATCAAAAATGAGTTTAAAAAATATCAACAAGTACAGACGGTATGAAAAAAAGGTTGAATGTTTCTGACAGAATGGAAAGTCAAAAGTTGTATTGCAAAAGCCAATTATACTATCATTATGGCTTGGTGTGCATGCTTTCACACAACCTTTTAAAAGAGGCAAAAAAGATTTCCTTATCCTCGTGTCGTTCCGAACCTGTGCAACTCTCTGTTCTCTGTGGAAAACAAACAAGATGTCAAGATGTTTTGAAGAATATTAAAACTCTTTTCCATGCACAGCAAACATACAGTGAAGTAATGTAATGAGTCGTTGTCCATCATTTTGTGAGCAGTTGTTGATAAAGAAAAATGTCAAGTCACAATATTGGAAATATTTCCATTTTAAATAGCAAAGGCGAACCAGTTAATATCACTCAAGCAATAGAGGGTATGCCCGTGACGTCACCGTTGGCCAGAGTGCCTGCAGTTACTCACAGTGAGTGGCAAAAAGACTGAGCGGCTGTATCTGTTTTCATCGTGAATGCCGCGAAAAACAAACACAACACATATAAAGTAGGAAAGAGCTTTGCGATTGACTGTACAACTAGATTTGACAAAAAATCGGAGGTATATTTTTACAGACTGCTTCAGAAAGAGGAGCAAATGGATCGCTGCTATTCACAGAAACAAGTTGGATTTGCAGTTATCATTTTGTGTCAATATGCTGAATTTAGGTGTAAAACCATACCCATATATTTTGTATTGTTATATATATTAACAGCTCATCAATTAAATATTTATCATTGCATATTCTGCATTATTGGATGTTTTTTAATAAACACTGACCCCAAAAAAACTATAAAGTTTTAGGGCTGGACGATATGATGATATATAGGCTATATAAAACATAAAACATTGATATAAGTGATCACCCGGATTTAGACCTACCTATATTGTATTTATATGAACCGTTCACAGACAAATTTGCTTAATGTTTAGGTCTAAATTGCTTTTATTTCCCCGGTGTTGAAATCAGGCAAACATAAATGTCAGGCAACACGATTCCTGGCTGCATGTCAATATCCATGGATCACTGGATCTTTAGTAAGTTGAACACTATATTGAGTCCAACATTTAGTTTAAATTGATAAAATTGTTCGTTTTAGTCACATTTTCGCAGTTTCCCCTATTAAATCCAGTCACGCAGCAGATCTTTTGCCACTCAGTCAGGCTGAGGGTGGTTGTTCCGACGGGAAAGTGACGTCAATGCATTTCCTTTATAGTTATGCTGGCGAAGAAGTCTCAAACCTAAAAGTTGTTTTTGATTAGGAGATCTTATCACTGCAGAGCAACAGTTATGCGATGATGCATAATGAAATTATTGCGGGGCAAATAAATTGTAATATTAAAAGTGCCTAATAATGATAATTCAGATCATCGCAGGCTGGGCTTCATATTATCATTTATCATTATCATTTTTTTATTATTATTATTGTTAGTTCTGATTGTACATTGGGATTTTCTTTTTTTTTTTGTTAAAGATTTTGCCTTTATTTAATTCTGGACATTGTGTATATTTCACTGTCCCTCACAATTTCGTCAAACTTGAGCTTTTGCCCTCACATTTGTCTTGAGAAAGAATAAGGCGGTCGATCTGGATGTGTTTCTGAAACACAGACCGTTCAGTTCATGTCAGTGGGGTTGGCATTATGGCCAATAGAACTCGTGGCATGTGGAAGCACATGACTTTACATTTGACCTCATACTCCTACACTGCCCCTTCTGGCCCAGCTGACCTAATTCCCAACTGGGGGCAATACAGAGCACATGACCCAGATGATCAAAGAACCAAGCACTTGTGAAAAAAAACAAGCTTTTTGTTCTGAACACAGTGATGTACAGAATTGCAACATGTTATGGTTTGAGACATAACTGTGTGAATATTTTATGCTGACTTTTGCACATCAGATGTCTGTGTAGCAATATTCCATATAGTTCACATGCCTGCAAATAAATCAGAATGGCACTGTTTTAGCATCTAGTTTTACGCTGTCCATGACTGACATGTGTTGTGGTCCCCTTTTTGCTGTCATTTCCCGTTCTGTGTGTTTTCTGATGCCCCCTCTGCCTCTTTATGAATTCATCCACTGTCTCACCCACCATTTGCGAAGAAGTCTGAATGCCCTCTAAGCTAAATACTGTCAGAAGGTGTTTGTTTATTTTCCAGGGATGTGTTGTTTTGGCATTCTAGGCCAAGACATCTTCCTACATAGACCTCTAGTGCTTTTAAGCTTGTTGTCGTGACCCAGGCAGTCTAGAGGTAGTTCCCCTGAAGCAAGAGAGGTCCAGATATGAGAATATTTACATGAATGCAGACTGATCTGATATGTCTGGAGTAGGTTTTTATTTAATGTCACCCAAAGGCTTAGTCAGTGAATGTTTTAAAATCACTCTCTTTGTACCTCATTTCAAGTCATGTATGTTCATATAAATTAATTTGATGTACTGTGGTTTTAATACCAAATCTGCACAGAGTAATGCTACAAATTATCCTAAAATAGTTTATCCTAAACTGTGCCGTTTCACTAAATAATGACTGTTAATATCTTAAAGACTCCACTGTCTGCCATTTAGGGCTGGGCAACGATTAATCACGATTAATCGTATCCAAAATAAAAGTTTGTGTTTACATAATGTGTGTGTTGGGTGTATAATTATTTTGCATATATAAATACACACACATGCATGTAAGAAATATTTGCATGTATGTACTGTAAATATATTTATACATTTATATTAAATATTTTTTATATTGGTAACACATTTTTCTTAAATATATACATGCATGTGTGTGGATTTGTATATACAAAATAATTATACACAGTACACACACATATATTATGGAAACAAAAACTCGTATTTTGAATGCGATTAATCGCGGTTAACCGTTGCCCAGCCCTACTGCCATTGGTTGGTCAAATAGATAGCCCTTCCCTAGACTCACACCATTGCCTTTTATTCAAGCTCCTTTTGTAGGCAGTGTTTATTCACATATATCTAGGACTGCACAATTAATGAGTATCATGGTATGGCTTAGTGCAAATATCAAAACTCAAAATGCTGCAATTTGGAAACAAATATATGCGATGCGTGTTTCAGAGTGAAGCGTAGCACTGTGTTCTTTTACACACAAGCAGCTCATTATCTCCCAGAGTTGCTTGGTTTGCAGTAAATGCTGTTCCACACAAACTCAATCTCTGCATCTGCTGTGAGTTTGGGTTGCTTATAGCCTTTTTTGGAAACAATATGTCCCAGCCATCTTCCCATACTTCATATAAAGAGGGCTTACCTGACAAAATACAGGTTTGATGGCATAACGTTTAAAAATGATTATTATTATAACCGTATGATATGTAATCACAACTTTTTGGCCAAGTTATGCAGCCCTATGAACAAGCACAGCAAACAGAATTTTTTATTTGAATTGCAATTGCAAAGAAACAAGTCACTCTATTGTACTGGGAGGCTGAAGACGTGCAGGCGCTCGCCATCCCTCCCCGCTTTTCACGTGATTAGGAGGCTTCCTTCCTACATTCATGATAGGATTTGGCATCTGTACATGGAAGACTTAAAACACGCACGTAGCAACTAATACCTTTGGGATCACTGTGTTTGCTACTGCAGGGGAGTATCAGAACACATTGGTTTGGATTGACGCTTGCATCACTCCCTGGTTTTCACATTTTGGCCAAATTATACAGCCCTACGAACAAGCACAGCAAACAATGAATTTTTTATTCAAATTGCAATTTTTATCAGAAAATCGCAGTTACATTTCCCCCCCAAATCGTGCAGCCCTACATGTATATAGCCTACTTCTCTCACATTTCTTATAGAGTGGGAATGTTCAAATCTGGTTAAAGGACTGGTATTACTAGTTGTTGTTGAGTAAACCAGTGATGATGTGACCTGACATTAATGAACTTCCCCATTTATAAATGTGTTAATGTTTTCTTTTGTACATGTTCGCACACAGTGACTCGCTCCCCCACGGTATGATGTGGATTAGAGAGGCAAACAAGGCAGTCTATTGTACTGGGAGGCTGAAGACGTGCAGGCGCTCGCCATCACTCCCTGGTTAACACATGATTAACAAGCTTCCTTCCTACATTCATGATAGGATTTGGACTCTGTACATGAAATCCTTAAAACAGTCACGTTACTGCTAATAAGTTTGCTACTGCAGGGGAGTATATCAGGACACTTTAGTTTGGTTTGTTAGGGCTAAGGTTTGCTATAGGAGCGAAAAATATCTGAGTTATGATTTAGTAGGACATGTCTTCCAGCCACTGCATTTCACAGGTAATATCTTTAGCTGGATGATGGTGAGAAACAGCAAAATCTGCAGTTTGATGATTACTGCAGTAATATGCAATGTCAATTTCTATTGTTCTTCCCCACAGAGCTGCAATGCCCTCTAGTGGTCTGAACAGAGACTTTCACCATGAAATCGAAATATATTTTATATATACATTGCTAATGTTATTGTGAACAGTTAATCTATCCATGAAAGAAAATAGATGTACATCTTTGTAATCTTTCATTCTAATGTTATAACTTGATCCTATTCTAAAACATTGTTCAAGCCATCTTTTTTTTCAATCCCATCAAATCCCAATGGATAAAATCAAATCATGGGTTACATTTTCTCTCTCTCTTGTTGAGTTTCCTAATAACTTGGAATTGGCTGTTTATTGAACCATTCTTCTTTTTTAGTCGTTAGCTTGATTTTTCTTTATCACATATCTTTTTCTTATTCCCAAGCATACGTTTCATCTAGGTAACCAAGTACATTAACTTTTGACTTCAAAACAGTCCTCATTTAATCTAAAAAGCTTTTTTTTTTCACACAAATATTGCAGTGGTGCATTATATCATTCATTGTTTAGTTCATTGTATTTTAAAATGTTATCTTAGATTATATTTAAAGTAAAAATCTTACTGACTTTGAAGATCATTTTCAGAAATAACATTTAAAATGGTCTTAAAATCTACAATACAATCAATATCTTTCTGCTTTCAATTTTTTAAAAAAAAATATATATTTTATGTCCAATAATGTTTTTGTTTTTATTTATTTTTGTGTTTAGAATCTGACTGCTTGTATTTCCAATTTTTGTTCCCAGGTCCTGTCAGCAGTATCCTGGTCAACAAGTATGGAAGTCGGCCCGTTATGATTTTAGGAGGCTGTCTCTCAGGAGCAGGGCTCGTCGCTGCCTCTTTCTGCAATACTCTTGAGGGCTTGTACTTCTGTGTCGGTGTTTTAGGAGGTATAAATAAAATCAAATATTTTTATTTTATTTTTTTAAATGGTCAAACGTTATATTAGGTGTCCTTACCTACTATAGTTATCAGAATATATAACTATAGTTATACTTATCAGAAAATAAGAAAAATGTACACTCTAAACAATGCTGGGTTGTTTGAACCCAAATTTGTGCAAAATATGGACAAACCCAAATGTTGGGTTAAAAAATGTAATTTAAAATTTTAACCCAACTTCAACTTTCACTTTCAACTATGATTTTTTTTTTATTATTGCATTTAACCCAAGATTTGGGTTTGTCCATATTTGACCCAAATTTGGGTTGAAACAACCCAGTATTTTTTAGAGTGCACTATTCATATCATATCACAATACACTTTATTGCTACGGGAAAGGATAGGGACAGGTTTAGTGGTGTGGTTAGGCAGCTGTAATTGTATGCAGTTTTTATTTATATATATGTACATATATAAGTACAATGTAAAACCATGTAATGTATGTACACAATAAGTGAATTATATAAAATCATTAATTTAAATGTAGGACTGACATATTAGTTTAGGACACCTAATATAAAGTGGGACCTTTTAAACATAAATTATTAGACTTATCGCATGAAATTTGTATTAATAGCACTCTAATTGATGGGACACTCTGGTGACACATTTTAATATCTCTCTGGAGACCAATTCTCTTTAACTGTTTGTTATGATGTATTCCAGGTTTGGGACTGGCATTCAATCTCAACCCAGCTCTCACAATGATCGGAAAATATTTCTACAAAAGACGCCCGATAGCTAATGGTATCGCTATGGCTGGTAGCCCAGTCTTCTTGTCTACTCTGGCTCCTTTAAACACTTGGTTCTTTGAATATTTCGGTTGGAGAGGGAGCTTCTTGATTCTGGGTGGACTTCTGCTCAATTGTTGTGTAGCTGGATCACTGATGAGGCCAATTGGGCCGAAACCCCAACCTGCTGTTAAAGCTGCTAACAGTAACAACAGAGCTAGAGAGCAAAAGACCATGATGGAGATCATCAATGGCTTTATCGATCTGACACTCTTCAAGCATCGTGGCTTCTTGCTTTACCTATTGGGTAATGTGGTCATGTTCTTCGGGCTCTTCACTCCTCTTGTGTACCTCAGTAATTACGCCAAGAGTAAAGAAATTCCCAAGGAGAAAGCAGCTTTTCTGCTCTCTGTCCTGGCCTTTGTAGATATGGTTGCACGGCCTTCAATGGGAATAATCGCCAACACGAAATGGGTGAGACCAAGAGTGCAGTACTTCTTCGCCGCAGCTATTTTCCTTAATGGTGTGTGCCACCTGCTTGCCCCTCTGTCCACAGACTACTTAGGGTTTGTGATTTACGCTATCTTCTTTGGGTTTGCCTATGGCTGGCTGAGCTCAGTGCTGTTTGAGACTCTCATGGATCTCGTAGGGGCTCAACGTTTCTCCAGCGCTGTAGGACTGGTGACGATTGTGGAATGTGGGCCAGTGTTACTGGGGCCTCCTTTACTAGGTGAGTATGGAGTGTGTTTACGTCTCATATTCAGGCAAATCAAATGGTTTACTTTATCATACATGCATGTTTTATGACCTCATATTAATTGAGAGACTACATATCATGTTTTTGTAAGGGTTATCAACGACCTCTTACTCTTTGGAAACCTTTCCATACTTTTATTACGCGACCTCAGCTCAGCCTTTGATACTGTCCCCCGATATACCTCCCTGAAATGAATTCTTGTACTGTAGGTTGGGATGTCTGCATGTACAACCTGAAACAAAACAAAATCTTTAAAATTGCATAATAGGTACGTTTTAAAATTAACCAGTGAAGGCAAAAAGTAATTAAAATATTTAGTTTTCTGCTAAGAAATTATCAGTCAAATGACATAAATTAATTTTCCCTAATACATTCAGGTTAATATTAACCTGAAATCCTGGTGTGCATTAAAAAAGTATTACCTAAATTTGAATCACTTTTCACATTTTGTTGATAATGGGTTGATGGATCCCCCTTTGATCACTGACCTTTTTTTTTATATGACTATTGTCTACACTCACAGGGAAGTTCAAAGACATCTACCATGACTACAAGTATACTTACATGGCCTGTGGATTTCTCCTGCTGGTTGGCAGTTTGTTTCTGTTCATCGGAATGGGCATCAACTACAGGCTGCTGCATAGAGAGGCAAAAGAGGAATCCAAAAGAGCCAATCTGCAGGAGGAACCTGGCAAAGTTGAAGATGCACTGAAAGCACCCAATAACAATACTGTAGAGGATGGTGTGTGACACTGCTGATTGGTGTGATTCTGGGTGATGCTTTCATTTATACCTTTATACACTCTCCACATTAAAGATTTACAGTGTAGTTACAGACATCCATATTTGGCCTATTCAGGTTACTGAGACAGTGATGCAAACATTTCAGTGCCTCGCATAGTGCACACTGCACAGTAATGCAAATCATATTTTTACATTTATTTTTACAATTTAACTTTAGTTTAAAATCGTTTGCTTAACATTTTACAGTAGGACAATAATTTTGGCACATCTATTTTGGGGTGTTTTATGTACGCAGTGAGTGAAAGACTAAATCAGTGATGAATAAAAGGAATTAATTTAACAAATGTTGCCTTAACAAAAAAGTCACTGGAGTAATAAAAAAGCAGTAGATATACAAATAGTGTTTGTTGTTAAGTATATGCGCAAATGAAACATAGCTTGGTAAATATTTTCAGTTTATGCACTTTGTCGGTATCCATCATAGAGGTATCCATGCACACAATGACTGTTATTTTGTGTATTCTTATGTGTATGTGCATAGCCTAGCAATGTAGTGATGAAAGATTGTTAACTTGTTTAAAACTATTTAAGTCCAACCACTATTTGTGTAGGCCATAGCCTGAAAGGTATAATTGTTCTTGAAATGTAAAACAATTTACTATCAGAAACAATGTATAAGTTGTATTGCAAAACTGTTCAAATTAAAAATACAATTTAATTTAAATAAGAATTTCATATCACCTTTCAAGTGCTGGGTGCTAACTTATGTGTTCTGTTGAGATTTACAATGATGAAAACCTTATTTTTTTCTTGTTTAGGCTACTTCTTTTTCAAAATGTTTAACTGTTATCTGACTTAAAAGGTGCGTTCCATTCGACAGGGTCCCTACGGAGTGTTCACTGCTCCCTACTCCCTGAACACGGTATATCAGTTTTTAAGTGGACTTCACTGGCTTCCTGTGAAGTGATGTATCGATGTTCCCTTATTCCCTATGCCGTTTGCAGTGCCCTTCGAACTGAACATGTTCGTTCCCTTCGAATTGGAATCTCACTTAAGATGGCGAAATACCCTGTGAAGTCCACTTCGCAGTCCACTTAGGAACGCACCTAAAGTCAAAGCCCATTTGATATTAGTCTCCTTTGTCGGATACACCTTTCATAAATGTGACAGGAGGTGTCCACAATAAAATGTTAGTTGTGCTTTTTGGAAATAATTGATTTTTCTAAATAAATAAATAAATAAATAAAAACTGGCAGAAGTTATCTAGAGTCTAGACCAATCAGAAAACGTCTGGAACCCCGGCGCGCAAACCATTTCAAAATAGGCGTCACGCGAGTCAAACAACTGACGTCGGGTAAAAGCCGTTGGTTAACGGAGTCGTATCAATCATAAAAACAGTTCAGAAGGAGTTCGTGTGAATTGTTTAAAGGTAAAATGTTTTAAAATTACGTTTAATTACGTTCACATAGTGGAAGAGTAACGAACATTTGATCATTTGTAGGCTAAGGAATGAATTAGCTTACCGTTTTTACGTCAACGTTAGCTGCTAACGTTAACTGTCTAAAAATGTTCGACTTACATTCTCAGCTAGCAAGTAGCTAACCGTTAATGTTATCTCAAAGGGGGAAAGCCATGAACAATAAAACTATTCGTTATACATTTCTGATGATTTTTAAGTGCTATTTCGTTTGACTCCACAGTATGCAAAAACCATTCAACTTCAAACTCTTGGTGCCCCCAAGAGCTCATTTGAATCAAGTGTATGCGGTGAAGCCTCAGGAAACAGGCTTGTTTGAAGAAAACGGGGGATTTCCATCCAAAATGGTGCTTCCTACGAAGGCATCCAGACCAGGTAACATTTATAAAATCTAAAATTTAGAGGTGTAACGTTAACATGTTCATTAAACCTAATACTTTGTGATTAAAGAGGGTGTGAAGAAGATTGCAGTCATGCCAATGGAAAAGGAGGAGGTCAGATCGAATGCTCTTTTCATTTTGTTTTAGTTTATTGCTGAACAGACTTCATATATTTGTATATATAATGAGGTCTATAGTATGTTATGCATTCCGTAAAATGCATAATGAAAATAAATTCAAGCAGTTTAATTACTAAGGTGCTTTTGCATTATAGACAACATTAAGATCCAGCCAGTTGTACTCCAGATTGCTGGATGAAGCTGAGAAAATTAAAATGTGGAAGTTCAGAGTAGATTCTGAGATTTCACAAAAAGACAGGAAGCTTCAGGAGAACAGAAAAACAATTGACACACAGCGCAAAGCCATTCAAGAGCTTCAGGTAAATAATTTGTGGGTAGTACACTTGTGTTACTTTTTATTTGTATTTTTTGTCTGTTTTACTAAAGACAGAATTATAAATTATGTCTGTTGCAGTTTGCAAATGAAACTCTGAGCATGAAATTAGAGGATCAACTCAATGAGAATGAAGACCTTAGAAATAAGTATGTACGTCATAGGTAATATTTAAATACTGTAAGTGCATACAGTATAATATATTATATTTTTATCATGCAGAAGTAATGCTACCAGAAATTTGTGTAACATACTAAAGGACACATTTGAGAGATCTGCTAAGAAAATGAGTCTGTGTAAGTGTGAAAGCATTATGTACTGTATTAATTCATTGCCTATTTTTAGAGAACAATAATGTGCATTTCATTTTGCCTGAAATAGTTGAGGCTGAACGGGAAGAAACTCATGATCTGTTTATACAGAACAGTGAGAATATTCAGGTAACTGTATAATGAGTGTATAATTTACTTATTTATCTTGTACTGGTGAAGCGTGGGGAATAGGTCCAACCCTAGATTGAGACAATCCTTTTCACAACACTGTAATTTGTTCATTTGCAGAGGATGGTGGCAGCATTTGAGAGTCTTCGAAAGCAGGCAGAGGCTGATCAGCAGGAAATGTTGACATGTGCTCATTTTTAAATAATTTGTCTAATTATTTTAAAACTTAAATTCATTTTAAGCATGTACTGTATTTGATGAAACAAATTGAAACATTTTAACATTGTATTGTTTACATCCTACAGTAAGAGAATGCCTTGCACAGTTTGAGGATCTTAAAGTGAAGTTCCAGAGTGAATGTCATGTGAAGGAGAAGGAGGTTGGTCTTTATTTTGAGTGATCTTTAATGCATACTGTAACACTCACCTGTCTTTGTGTTCATGTTGTGACTAAAACGCACATATATTTTGTGTTCCTTGCTTTGACTTGTTGAGGTTGCCATGCTTCAAGAAAAGCTCCAAGAAAAAGAAAACAATCTCAAAGATTTTTCAGTGAAACTCCAAGAGGCAAAGCAAAGCTGCAGTTTGCTAGAGGAGTCTGCAAGTAAGAATCCAGGACACATTGCATAAGTCTTTCCTTATTTTTTTTTACAAGTCATGTATGTTCACTCATTTTGCTTTTAGGGAAACATCAGAAATTACTTCAGAATGTTACACAGGATCGGGAGGTGCTTGAGGAAAAACTGAGGGTGACGGAGCAACTCAAATGGGATATTGAGGTTTGTCCTTAAACAAGGTCTTACTCTTAATACAATTGTTTTGGACTTATTTGTTAAGGTAGTACATAAAGGTTGAATAAATTCACGGTATTGTTTTGCATTGTTTTTTTATTGTATTCTATCGCTTTCCCAAGGAAAACCAGAGAGCCTTAACTGACAAACTGGAGCAAAGCAAGGAGAACCATGAGAAAGTTCTTCAAAAGAAAGACACTGAACTAGAGGAACTAAACAACATCAAAGAGCAACAGTCAAACCAACTTGCAGAGATGCAGCTGACAGTGAATTCTTTGCAGTCCTCACTAACTTCTGAGATACAGAGGTACTTCATAGTATATCAGTTCAAGATCTAGCATAATTAGGGATGGATATCGTTTAAAAAAATTCGATTTTGATACCGGTTCCTGAACGATACTTTTCTTCCAAGATTACCAAGTTTTATCAACATTACATTACAGATTACCAAAAAAAACCTTTGATTTTATTTTTTCAGTTTGCTGACTTTTTGTTTTGTTTTGTTTTTTTTACACATATAGGCCACTGAGGGGCCAAATATATGCCTCGCGTTCGAGCTTGCCGCAAAGCACTGGGAAAAGTAGCCTAATGATTACGAATGTGTCGGGGGAAAAAAATAGCAAGGAGACATTTTAATAGTTTATAATAAACTATAGTTTTCTGAGACAGTGTTGAGTGCAAAGATGCAGTTGACGTTGCTGACTCGTCATCTCCGCAGTTTAGTAAACACGAACGTGCCTATAGAGAGAAATGCACCTTTCATTTGGATTGAATAATCAGAGTATTTGTGTTTTCGATTCGAATTGGTTCGTTTAAAAGTATACATTACAAGCTGATAGCACAGGTGGAAATGAAGTACAATATTAAACCAAGAACTTTAATAATTAATTGTAATCCATATTGAAATGATTCCTTTGTTTTCACAGGGTAAAAGACCTTGAGACAAAGATAACATCAGTGGGGAATGAACTCAGTGTCAAAAGCGCAGAATTGGGTGTGTTAATTATGTTAATAAATAATGCTGCAGTTGCATGCTCTGTAGCATTCTAAGATCATTGGTTTCATTATCTTCATGCAGAAGTTATCAAGGGGCAGAAAGACGACCATAGCAAGCAAATACAGATACTTCGAGATGAGCTGGTATGTATTTCCCCCTCTGCTTAAAGGGTTAGTTCACCCAAAAATGAAAATTATGTCATTAATGACTCTTGTCGTTCTGAGCCCGTAAGACCTCCGTTCATCTTCGGAACACAGTTTAAGATATTTTAGATTTAGTACAAGAGTTTTCTGTCCCTCCATTGAAAATCTAAAATATCTTAAACTGTTCCGAAGATGAACAGATGAGGTCTTACCGGCTTGGAATGACAAGAGGGTGAGTCATTAATGACATAATTTTCATTTTTGGGTGAACTAACCCTTTAAGCATTTATATTCTATGATTTATGCATTTATGAAACTAATCTTACAGTATTTCTTTAACAGAATGAGAAGTCAAACTCACTCTGCTCTATAAAGGAGGAATTAAAGACAAGTGAGGTTCAGATGTTCCAGCTTATTGCTTCACTGGAAGAAAAACAAAGTGAGGCAAATCATTTGAAGGTGAGTAGAAGGTCATAAAGTATTCATCGGCATAGTAAAATGCATCCTCCATAATTTCAGTTACGCATGTGCTTCGTATTTAACATTCACCTCTCAGGATGCAGCGGAGAGTGTAACCACAGAAAATAAAAACATGATGGAGGCCCTAACAAAAGCTCGACATGATAATGAAGAGTTGCAAGAAGCTGTTGTTTTAAAAGAGGTCAAGACATTGTTCAGTTTTTGTGCATTTGTGGCTTATTGTTTTAGTTTTTCACTATATTACACATCATGTATATTTATTTGTTTGAGTTGAGTTAAGTAATATGATGGAACATGGACAAATATTTTGGATACTCAAATTGAATGTGTACATCTTTCATCCAGGTTAAATTAAAAGAGATGGAGGAACAATTGTCAGGAGCTTTGGAAAGATGTTGTAAATCATCTAAAGAGGTAGAAAGATTGGAGAGGAACTTAAAGGAACAGAAGTAAGAGCAACCACAACCTTTGATTTTACACCATTAATCTTTAAATCTCAAACTAAACCTCTCATTTATTGCATACTGGTTCACATACTATACAGTTAATCGATATGGGTTGATTAATTGATATGGGTAGTAATGTAAGGGAGGTGATCTATCTTTGAATTCTTTTAGCATCAAAAATGTTTTGCAAATGGATCTGTATCGCGTGCAATTAATATCGAGACAGGGATGTAGACTAAATGTCTTATGAGAAAAAATGAGTTAAAAATGTAATGTTCATTTAAATCTTATTACATTAAGCATTTTGGCCATTTTCTATTGTATAATTGTGGTCTGTACAGTATTTTATTGAACTTATTGAAGTTGTTTTTTGCTTGAAGGGATTATTACAAGGAGCTGATGTTGAAGTTTAATGACCTGCAGATGCAGAAAGACGTCATTCAACAACAGGTTGATAGTGGTGCTTCAGAGAAGAAAGTCCTTCAGTCTCATCTAATGGTTTGTAAATTAAATCAAGCCTCTAAATGTTGTAAATTTACAGAATGACCTCATGCTGCATGCGATGGTTTGTTTTTTACAGGAAAGCAATGTAAATGCCGAACGGGAGAAGACGGAAAAAGAAAGACTTGAGAGAGAGAAGCAACAGCTTCAGTAAGACTGGAGGAGACTTTTGTCTTGCAACATTGCAAATTTGGTTTTAATCATAATTTTATTTTGTCTTGCATTTACAATTTCATATTCCAGGGAACAGGTGAATATTTTATCTGCAAAAATAGCTGGTCAGGGTGAGGAGAGAAAGAATGCTCAGGAGCAGTTGAGAGAGACTGTGCGTTCTTATTATTATACTGTTTTATTCCATTAGTTTGTTGAGGTGTGTAATCTCATGTGTTTAACAATAATTCATGTTTAATCACCCCAACAGGGCAAAAGTGCAAAGAGAGAACTTCTCATAAAAGAAAAAAAAATCAAAGCATTGGAGTCAAAGGTAAAAAATCTGATTGTGTTGTACTGGTACAGTATTGTGCACTGTACTCAAACACTTGTTTTTAAACTGAAAATTTTCTTAAAACCGAAACAAAAACTCATAAGGAATGTATTAAAAAGGTTTCACTATTATTTTGTAAAAATTTTAATGTTATAAGTAGATTGTTGAAGTCAACATGAAGTACATAAACATGAAATACATTAAACGGCATTCGCAACCCATTTTGCTAAAAGGGTATTCAGGATTTTATTCATTTAATTTGTGACAAGTTTTCTTTTAGAGGACTTGTCACGAATTAAATGAATAAAATGCATACACTGCTTTTTCATACATTTGAATTATGTAGTAAAACAGTGGTCATGTTACAGTATTTGACATATTTCTCTTAGATAAGTAAACTTCAGGAAGATTCAGATAATTTAAAGAAACATCAGGAAGAGGAGCTTCAGAAAATACGCTCTGACTTTGAAGACAAATCAACAGCAGAGGCACAACTCAACCTTGAGGTGTCTCCCCCCCCCCCCCTCATTAAATGCAATAACTAAAACAATAACAAGACATGATGCAAATAATGGTTATGTTTTATTGTTGTTTTGTATTTTGTTTTTAGATGCAAAAACTGAAGCAAACCGCCATGGAGGCATTGAAGAATAAAGATGACACAGAAATGAAATGCCAGCAAAAGATATCAGACATGGTTGCTTTAATGGAGAAGCACAAGGTCATTATCATTCTTAATATTTTCCATTGGTCTCTAAAATTCTACAATATTTTCAATTGTTTTTAGTAAGGCTGCCCTAGACTAAAGATTTTTCTATTTTTGTATTAAGTGATCAGTCGACTAATCACATTTTTATCTACTAAGCCATAAATCTAAATAAGGAGCCTCCTATATAAAATACAAAGCCTAATCAGCACTCACATAAAGCTTGCCACAGCGCACCGGCAAAAGTAATGATTATGAGTATGTCGTGTAAAAACAGAAGGACACTGTTTATACACTGTAATAATTTATTGGTAATGATCTCTGTGGCTGCAGATATTTTGTCAACGATGCTGAATCGAATATTCACGTTTCATACTGATTACATAATCCGAGAATATGTATTTTCCTTTACAATTTTTCTATTCAAAAGTAGACATTTTAAGCTTTCTATAGATATATTTCTCATGTCTGTGAGGCAAGTATACACTGACTCTGAGTTTCGGTTTATTTATGTGACATGCTCTCCAGTTCTGACTGAGATGGCAGAAAGCACATCCTGATTGTTTTCATTATTTTACTAAAGCAAAATGTGGTGTTGTTATTTTGAGTTTACAGAAATAAAAGTTGAACCTTTACAGTTTGCAATTTGCATTACTTATTTGTATGACCAAAAATGACGAAGTTTTTTAAATTAAATGCAAGTGATCACACCGCCACCTGTATGTAATGCAGTAAGTTCGCGCTTTACACAAAAACTTAATAATAGGCGCCTAATAAATAGTGCACATTTCTCTAGGTTAATTCAAGCGGACTTGTAAAATTGCTGCTACTCACATGTTTCGAGTGATAAGTCATATTTAAGGTTGATGAATGATAGGCAAATGTTTGGATTTCCTTCCATTAACGATCTGTCCTATACAACCTGCATGATTTTTTCCACTTCCTTTGGAGGTTTTTTTTTTTGCGACTCACCGACTAATACAATTTTTGTAGATTTTGGAAGGCTCTTCTAGTCGACTATTAGGGGGCGGCCCTAGATTTTAGGCACTTTTCATTCACTTTAATGTTTTCTCTTTTCTTTGCAGCATGAGTATGACAAAATGGTAGTAGAAAAAGATGCTGAGCTGAGTGACAAACGGATGAAAGAAGCTGAAGTCAACGCAAGCAAAGCATCACTGGTAAATACTGAATTGTTGAATTGAACTGTTGTTTGCACTGAATGTCATACTCAGCATAACTAAGTTGTCATTGGATGCCTGAGATGCTAATCCAAAAGTCCTAGGTCCAAAAGATTAATAATGGGCTATATGCACGCATAAGTTCCGCATTTGACGTAAGGATGCTCGTCCATTTCTGGTTGTGTAGATTAAAGCGGAGGAAAACCGGAGAAAACGGGATTATGGCAGAGTCTTCAATATTTACTGTCCTCCCGTCTTTGAAACGAAACGTACATACGTTTAGATGTAATTTTATATATAGTTATGTTTATTTAATATAATTTTTAAAAGAAGCATAAACACAACGAGGGGTGTCTGTTTTATCTGTTTTTGTGACTAACGTTTCACTAGTATAACCATGGAGTATAAAATTCAATATAAATTCTCGGTATTGCGTTGAACTCTATGATCGGCGGAAGTTATCGAGCATCCTTAATCCTTCACCGGAAATAACGCCATGCATAGAGCCCATTACATTTATTGTAGAGTTATCATTGTATTTGAAACATTTAACCAAAGGTTGCTGAAGCGAGACTTTGCACCTTTTGTAGGTATAATATGTAATATCTCTAAAAACCAAATTACCAATAAATTCAGGAACTGGAGCTGTCCCACCTGCAAGTAGAAAATGATGAGCTGAGACAACAACTTGAAAAGCTCAGAGAAGAAAAGATGGACTTGAGGACACCAGTTTCATCTCTTGAAAAAGACACACTTTACCAGGTATTGTACCTTATCAACTGAGATACCGTAGCTATACATGGCAATTTAACGTGAACAGTACAACATGAAAATCTTGTTTTAGATAGCTGAAATCAAACCAAAGAAGGGAGGAAACAAGATCTCTAAAACTCAAAAAGCTGGCACTACTAAGAAGACTCTGTTTGAGAAAGAAAATGAAACTCCATCAAGAAATGAATCTTACACTCCTGCTGTAGGTTTTTTTTCCATTATCTTTGTGCAGTTTGTACATATTCTTCACATCTATCATTTAACGGTCTTTTTTATTATTATTTGTGCAAGGGAGAAGTGAACAAAGTCCTTCATACCCCATTATGGAGCCTGAGCAGAAAAACTCGAACGCCTCAAATAGAGGTATGGGAGCAACCTAAATTGTTTGCATTAGTTATTATTCATCGTAAGCGTTTATACCAGCCAGACAGTTTATTTAATAACTCATTCATTTTGCTTCAGTCATTCAGAATCTGCACACCACCCTCACCTGAGATGAAGGGGTCTTGGAAGAAAAACATTCTTAAGCTGGACCCAAAGTCAGACAACTCTGAGAGCAGTGACATACTGGTAAATTGTATCTACTGTCACTCTATTCGCATACCATTAGTATTGTGTTATATACAGATTCCTTAGTGCTCTGCTTATTTATTTGTGGTCAACTCAAGTAAATCGTTAGGCTTGTGTTTTCTTATTCTTTCTTAATCTGGTGTGCAGAGTTTCTGTCCAAGACCTGTTAAATCCTATGCAAAGAAACCTATGCAGCCAAAAGACCCAAACACTGGGAGTTTGGACATGGTCAAGAAGGTAAAAAAAATCACATTTGACCAGTTTATTTGAAAAATTGTCTTTTTTATGTTCTTATTTTGACTGTCATCATGTGCAAATGATGTGCAGGTGCAGAGCTCTTTGATGTGTAAGTCTCCTGGAACAGCGCTCAAACTGGCTGCAATGAAGAGAATGCGAGATGCTGGATGGACCACCGTTAGCAGTTCAGATAAGAAGAAGAAAAAAGTGACAGACAAAATCTTTGCTTGAAACTCTATGCATAAAAAATGTAATGTTTCTTTTTTATTATAATTATTATTACATAGTGCACGACACTCCTTAGACAACAGCGTTTGATTGTTTACAAATTATACTGGTGTTTGAATTGGCAGAAATATTTATATTATTTATTCTAAGCTCTCAAAACAATTTCACGTTATAGTATGTTCCGTTAATATACAGTACTTTACGATATTTATCAAAAGATGTTCCTGGGACAGTTGTTGGTTCCAGTTACAAATCTTTGTATTTATATTTGTGTTTTTCTGTTGTTCAGTAACAGAAAAATGAACAGTAAATGTTGTTCAGTAATTTCATTAGTTCAAAGTTTTAAAAACATTTAAAATCAAAATGTGAACTGAAAAACCTTTTTTTGTTTTTTGAATAAAAAGAGGTTTGTTGCTGAGATCTTAAGGCTCTTGGTCATGTGCATGAAATGTCTGAAAGGTGGAGGTCTCGTTGTCAAATGCCCTGTCTTGATCCTCTCTCAGAAACTCCAAGCGGAACCGAGTAGGTCTGGAAGCAGATCCAAGTATGTTTGTCTGGTATTCTTCCTCGTTCTGCACGGTCATGGTGGGGTTGTAAATCTGAGGGCCGTCATAGAGTCCTCCTGAAATGACCAGCGTGTCATCTGGCAATGCAAATGGCTCACCTGTGAAAGCAATTTACAGACAATACAGTAATACTATTCATAATTTTTATTATGAGTATATAATCTTTGTGATTACTATAAAATGGGCTTGCCCATGCACAAATTGATGGCATGGTGCTGGACAACTTTCCCAGACAATAACCCATTTCAATGGTGTCATCAGCTGTGAGTAATTGTTTGGATCTTTTATTTTGAATAAAAAGACTTAATTTGGTAAACACCACTGATAAGATCATAAACAGATAAAAGATTCTCCTAACCTGTTTCTTCATTCTGGAGACGGCGATGAGTATATTGGATGCTTCTCTCTTTGCTTCTGCCGTACTTGTACACAAAGTTCATCAGAATTACCAGAACTATTACACCAAGCAGAATGCTGAATAAAACAGTCAGAGATTTCTCTGAATGATTCAGACCACCACCTGCTTTAAAATAGAGGTAGGAATAGTTAAGCAGGATACATGTGTTTCATTATTTGGCTTATATTATTAATGCTGGGATATGTTCATTCAAACCTACCTTGAGATTCATTGAAAAAAGTTGTGGCATTTTGAGTTATAGTGGAAGAAGTAATCGCTGTTGGTTCGGTCACTGGTGTAGTGCTTGACGTAGCAGTTTCATTGTTGCTGTGAGTGCTGTTGTCTGTAGAAGTGACAGCTGTTGAGTTGATCTTGATTGTTGTGAATGTGGCTGATTGGGTTGTCTGAGTGTTTTCTGTTGAGTTTGGCTGCACTGGTGATCCTGTGACGGTTGTATTGCCTTGGATGGGTCCCAAAGTACTATTGATGCCAGTAGGGGTCGTCTGGGTGTTCAAGTTGTTTTGAGTTGTACTACTATCATTGTACACTGAATTGCTGGATGAATTTGAAGCATTGTTCTCTGTGTGGTTTCTTGTTGCATTCAGAGGAGGAGCTTTTGATGGTGACTCACTGATCGTCTGTGCATTGGTTATATTATTCACAACCAATGAAAACAATATTAGTTGGCCACATACCAAAACCCGAAGTATTAACACACCCATAACTGTTGCAATTGCTTTCTCCTTAAAAAAAAACATACACAGAGTATAAGTCAGACTAGGTCAAAAAATAAATGCATACACTCTCATACTGCGCATGACCTAGTTCACTGTGTTTTATCTGTATGTGGTGTTGACATGTGGTTTCCTGTTTGGCTCACAAAGTTTCCATTTACTAAGTACATTTATTTCTCAATTTCTAAAATAAAGTCATCATGGCTTCCTTATTACTACTATAATCAGTCAATTATAGTCACTTTTTTATAGTCTTTTATTGTCCTGGATTAAAAAATAAAATGCATACTGTATATGTTTAGAACACATAATAATGACCTATCTAAAATGGCACTGACATGAAAATTAAGACAGGAAAGAGCCACATGAATTTTGCATAAGTTAAACAAACAATCACAAGCAACCGGGTTATTAATGCCATCCATCACAGACTTTCCTCACATACGGTAATTTAACATTCTCGCAATTTTGTAGAATTTACATCATTTAAATTTTTTTTAAATCAACTGTATGTTTTAAATTTTAAGAAACTAATTTTACTTCAATCTCTTTCACTCATCTCTCCTTCGTTCTCCTACACCCTATTGTTTGCGTAATTGTTGTAGTGTATATATATATATATATGTAAACTACAACAATAATAATATGACAACAAGAGCAGATCTTACCTTGTAAGCTGAAACGAACCCAGTTAGTGAAACCAGGAAGTGTCTCGCAGCAGTTATTACTCTCCCCCACCTGCTGCAGGCTCAATGCTTTTTCCACTCCCTAAAGAAAATGGCTCGGCTCCACGTCAAACAAACAGGTAGAGTGGGCCGGCCTTGAATGACTGACTTCCTTATCCAGCATCAGAGAGGCAGGTGCTCAGCCATTTTTAACCCCATGTGTATACTTCACTCTGAAGTACTTTCAGTGTTTTTCCCCTTTTCCTCTGTGTGCGTGAGTGAATGATACTCGTTGAGTTTGACATGTAATCATTTGTCAAATTTTATTGAAAAACCATTCAGATTTAATACAAAACCTTTTACTAAATATAGCTGTGTAAATTATTCAAAACTTGATCATGAAAATCGCAGAATGTTTAGTTTATGAGAACAGCCCATATAATATAAAGTAGCCCACTGGCGCAAAAATAGATGCTTGCTATTAATTTCTTGCTTCTCTTGTGGGAAGGTTTAAAAGAACTGAATTTATCATCATCGCTTAGCATTTTCAACATACAAAAGTACAGTCATAATTTACTATTTACAATGTATTCACATCTAAAACTTTGTGATCTTCTCCATGTGGTCTTTCTCTTTCAGTGCAATTTCATTGTCATTGAAAACTGGACTGTCCAGACCTTGGATGTGGTTTGGCTCTTTTTCAATTAAGTCTGACACCTAGAAAGAAAAAAAAAAATGCAATGCAGTTAATAAATGTCTTTTGCAAAGCAGCTTTACTAAAACTTCAGCAATGAAACAATCAGAACAGCTAAGCATCTATAAAATGTGTAAAACTTTTATGTAAATATATGTTTGCATTGCTACAATATTTAAACAGTTTATACAATTATATAAATATTTCACGTACAGACGACAACGTTGTCAAAATGATCTCTGCTTACACGAATCCATTAAAACAACTGAAAACGCTTTGTGCTGCCAGCCCAGTAGCTGGTGCTGTCACTTTTTAAAGAAACGCTACGTATTTTGTAGATTACGCGGAGACGACTGTGGTATCATTTTCAAAAACGTGCACTTTGAAGTGAAAAGTTTGTGTTTTCTGATCCCATAAAGGCTGTTGTAGTGTAAATAACACCAAAACTCATAAAAAAAGTTTTCAGTTTTTTGTTGAAAACTGTTGTTTAAACAGACCTTAAATTATGATCTTTGTTATTAGACCTTGTTTGTCACACTGGTCTGGGTCTTACCTCTGAGTCTGAGTTTCTGAAGCCAAAGCAAATAAGATCTGACTTTCTGATAAAGAGCTCAGGCTGAACTTTCTTCTGCTTACAGCCACCTAAAGTTAAAAATAAATAAATCACAGTTTGAGTGTTTGCCTCACCAAAAGGCATATGAGAAAGTGTCATCTTACCTGAGATTGCACTAACGATTAGTCCTGTGATCATGGTCACCAGTATGCCCACAGGGCTGAAGTACAGGTAGGACAGAGAATACCAGTTGTCTGCCAAAGCTGGTCTTGGCCTGAAGGACAGCGTGAGACAATTACAGTTAGCTTTGATGTCAGTGTATTTGTTAGTTTCTGAAATGTGAGTGGTATAGATTTTCATTAAAACAACAGCAGAAATAAATTTATACTTTTATTTAGCAAAATTAGTGATAGTAAATATGTTTATAATGTTACAAAATATTTCTATTTCAAATAAAAATAATTATTTTTTTTATTAATTATTCATCAAAGAATCTTGGGGAAAAAAATATGATGGTTTCGACAAAAACATTAGGCAGCACAACTCTTTTCAACATTGGTAATAATGATAATGGGATTTTTTTAGCATCAAATCAGCATATTAGAATAATTTCTGAAGGATCATGTGTCACTGAAGACTGGAGTAATGATGCTGAAAATTGCTTTGATGGCAGGAAAAATTTTGATACAACATTTCACAGTATTACGGTTTTACTGTATTTTTGATCAAATTAATGCAGCCTTGGTGAGCAAAAGAGACTCCTTTCAGCAACATTAAAAAATCGTACTAACTACAAACTCTTTATTTGTTGTGTGTGTGTGTGTGTGTATATATACACTACTAACTGTGGAGTTGTAGTTTGTAGGACTGTGCTGAATGGTGTCATAGTTGTGGTTACGTTCACGTCCTGTGCAATGCATCCTTCCACACTTAAAGGAAGGCGGAGGATCTTCTCGGGTAAAGGGGGATACAACTGAGCTCCAATTCCCACCCATAACGTTATAACCAGCCCGGAAATCAAACCAACTAAACCTCCCTGTTGAAAACAGTACATCATTAAGTTAAGAATTTTGTTTAGTGTTAAAAGTGCAAAAAGTACTTTTTGTGTATATGACAGTAGTCTTGAAATTTATTTCAAAAGATCTACTGTTGTGGATGTAGAATTACAAACATTTTTGGTTACTGGTGCTGTAGAAATACCCCTGCTGTGGAAAACAAAATACTTACAAATACACCTTTAAGAAAGTGACACCTGTAATATATAAGTTCTTACAGTGGAGTTTGCAAAGCGGAAGAACATGCCGAGCAAAAAAAGGCCCAAGAGAGGTCCACTGATCATACCAAATATGGACAGAGCTGCCTGTGGAGGAAGGGATTCACAGCATGTCATTACAGTCTGTTATCAGCAGAGGGCGAGACAGTGAAAAACTCAATGGATTGAATGAAACCTCAAGCATTATTGCAGTATTACATTAAAATGTGCACAGAAAAGATTTACCTGCAGTATATTGCCCATCATAGAGGCGATACCAGCCATCCCAATGCATACACCTCCATAAAATACACCTAGTGATGAGCAGTACACCGTTACACATCAATCCATCATCCCTGCTTCACTCTGACGTGAAGCATGCAGTTGTCAGTGTATACAGCTGTGTCACTGAAACTCACTCATGCCCATGTTGATCCAGGACTGCTGTCTCTCTGTCAGCCAGGGCATTGCTGGCTTCAGAAAGTCCGCCACTGTGACAGCCACCAGAGCGTTGATACTCGATGACACCGTACTGTTGAAACAACACAAAAGCTAACTAATGCTGTCTGATGTGTGACCTGATCTCAACAAAATTCACTTTGTGTTCCATCAAGCCTTAAAATCAGGATCCCATGCTTTTTCTCAGCTACTGTAAATCCTAATGATCTTTTTTTTAAGTGCACCCTGATATTTCAAGTTATGTTATTAAATAAATAAAATAAAAACATTTAATAATATTATTAATATGATAATATGTTTATGATAGTATTATACTAAAATACACTAAACACTACTGTATATGTGTGTGTGTGTCTGAAGCATAGTTAAATAGAACACAATATAGTTTGAACATTTATAGTATATATACAGTATAAATAAATATTTTTTTATCATTTTCTAATTATTCTAGAAATATGAAATATATAAGCTAGTTAATTTTTTTGTTTGTTTTGGTTTTAGGTTGTTCCCCTTAACAATGACCTTGGTTCAGGTTAGAAAACTTTCCCAAAATGATCAGGATGGACTTATCTGACAGATATTTATTGGTTGTTCACCTTAATGTTCCACTGTAAGCTGCAGCCACAAACAAGCCAGGCAGTCCTGGGAAATCAGATAGTATGTCCATCACCAGATAAGGAAGGAGCTGGAAAACATTTTATTTGGTCAGATTAATTATAAGCATTGCGGGTAAAAATTAAGAGGTCACTGCTAGGGCTTGTATTACCTGGTCAGAAGCTCCTACATCTTTATTGGTCAAAGGATCACAGTCTTTATATATGGAGTACATGGTGAGACCAGAGAGCATGGCCAAACTCACTGTGACCCATAACCCAACCATATTCACATATAGAGATCTGTGTGGGCAAATATTGACAGCATTGAGTATTAGCTGTAGGAGCCATGAGTAAAGTCTAATAATATCATGTCTTGAGTGAATACTCACAGCTTGGCATGAGTTACTGTCCGACAGGAAATGTAGCGCTGCACCTGTGATTGGTTGATTGAGTACATGGACGCCCACATCAGACTGCCACCAACAACGATTGTCCAAAAACTATGACGCCTCAAAGGATCAGGATCAAAACTGGAGAAACATTTGAGAGGTTAGTCTATCTGTACACCTAGTTTCTTTTGGGGTTGTAAGATGTATACGTGAATAAAAGTAAATAAAATGTGTATGTATGTGATCTAGTTTTCTAGTCCAGATTTCTTTACCTGAATGTTTCCAAACGTCCTCCATAGTAGCTGTCATTCCAGATCCTCCCGAGTCCCCCCTGCAGCACCGCCCCACGAACGATGACCGCCACAAACCCACCCAACATGATGATCATCTGGAACACATCTGTCCATATCACTGCCTTCAGCCCTCCCTGTCAACAAAAGCATATCCGGGTAAGATGCACAGATTGCACCATAGTTTAGATGAGCACCCAAACACCAAGAACAACATAAAAATCAGTAATGTTGGTGATTTCAAGTTACACTCTTTAAAAAAGAGATGGTTTTCATAGCAATTATATGGGATTTCTTCACTATAAAGAATCTTTTCATGGATGTTCTCCATGGAACCATCGATGCTAGTGTATCGATTGGGAGTTTTGGGTTAGTTCACCCAAAATTTTAAATTAAGTCATTAATTACTCACCCCCATGCTGTACCAACCCCGTAAGACCTTCGTTCGTCTTCGGGACATAAATGAAGATATTTTTTATTAAATTTGAGAGGTGGATCACTGCTACATAGGCACCCTAAGAAACTTGACGGCCCAGAAAGTCATTGAAGAAAATGTTTAAATATCCCATGTGACAACAGTGGCTCAACGACAAATTTATCAAGCGACGAGAATACATTTTGTGCGAAAAAAACAAACAAAAAATATAGCTGCGAGCAGCGATGGCGGGCCCAAGCCGGTGGCACCGCAACCCCGGTTCCTTTAGTTACCTAAAGGCACCCGGGTAGCGGTGCCGAAGGCTTTGGCCCTTTTATGATTAAATGTTAAAACGGCTTGCCATACTCTGTCATTTCGACTAGTCACAATTATGTTACAGATGTCTTAAATGATAATACAAACTATCCAAAATGTAATTACGAATAGACAGAAAGACGTTGTT